GTCAACAATAATAGTAAAAGCAAAATATTTTAAGGGAAAAATTCCAAACAAACACAAAATCGCTCTAGATCTAAAGAGATCTAAACGGATTCAAACAGAAATAGCTAGATTCATGAAAATAGACAAAAGCAAATTAAATTTGGTTTGAACCAGAGATTTGGAACCATAAAAATACCAAAACATTCGTGCTTACAGATTTTGGAGTGAACATAGAGGGAATAGTCAAGAAAAGAGAAACTTTGAACTAGATTTGGTTTGAGTCCTTGAGATGCATATCAAGCAACATGAAAATCATACAACAAGTAGAGAGATGAGGTTGGATAAGGCATGAAACCGAAGGAAAACCTCATGAATCAAGGGGGATTTGTAACGGAGGTCTAGGGTTAGAGGGGGTGTGAGATAGAGAAGAGCTGAGAGAAGGGATCTAGAGACGACAGGTTGGGGGGAAATGAGGGTAGAGTTTAGTATTAGTATTATTAAAAAAGAAAGGTCGATCTTGGACCTTTGATCTTCTGAGATGAACGACCAGTATTAATTTTAGGCTAGGGTGGGTTATTTGACGGGTAGGGTAGTTGGGTTTGGGTATTAGGTTATGGGTTAGGATAATTGGGTTGACTAGTTATTGGGATGGAGTCTAAAAATTTAATTGAAGAGAGGTTATGTTTTAAATACCCTTTTAATTTAATAAAATAATTTATAAATGATAAAAATGTCATTTATGCATGAAAATGATTAAAAATAATTACTTAATATTATAAAAATATAAAAAGTCATTTTTTATATTAGATGATATAATTATGCATATATATGGGCTATTATAGCAAAAATATGCAATTCTAGCCTTAAAATACAAATGTAATTATAAATATTTGTGCATGTTTGTATATGCCTGTGCACTATTTTTAAAAATATATATGCATACTTAAAATATATGAGGGAAAAATTGGATATCAACAGCTGCCCCTCTTTACTTGGTAAGGATGAAAGAGTTATCGGGTAAAGAAATGATGACCGATTTTGACAGAATGGGATGTTTTGTAAAATATAGGCCACACCCTGGTCTCTGAGCTACCTATATAATTAGGCCATGTATAGTTCTGGACTCAACGGTGAATGAAACCGATGGAATTGTTATAGGAATGACCGTATGTTTTGATTCTTTTGGGTAAGACAGTACCGCATGGGTTTATGCTGAGTCATGAATATGAATCTGAAATGTAATGGATGTATCACAGGGTAGGTATCTGAATGGTCATGGAGTAAATGCAAGTAATTGATGAGAATCAGTTACGTTTGAAATAACAAAAAGGTAAAAATGGTATGAGTGGAAACCAAAGCGAAGGTTGCTCCTATTCGAAGACCGGTTACCTCCTGGATTTCCTGCAAAACTTAAAACAAGATGCATGAAAATATATAGATTACTGCGAGAATTTAAACATGATGCAAATTCTCTTTGGACCATGAAGGTTGTCTTTGGTTAGTGAAGATGACGACCTTAGACCATGACGTCCCGGGCCATGAATCATGAGATAAGGGATTCACAGGCCATGAAATGATGTTCTCGGGCCTTGAGAATGGTGCTTTTGAACCATGACGCCTTTGAATAATGATGTGTAGTATTGAGATATCCTCAGGCCATGACATGGTGTCTTCAGGATATGAGGATGATACCTTCGGACTATGACACCTTCGGATAGAGGCATGATGATGGATCATATAAGCAAACAAGACAGAGCTTAGTCTTGCATGGAATCAGGACAATGCTTAGCTCCGGAAAAGGCAAAATAGTGCTAGTTTTTAGATAGTGTAACATTTAGCATTACAAGGAAAGGCAGAGCTTAGCCTTATGCAATTGGGGAGGCATGGCTTAGCCTCATGCAAGGAGAGGAGACAATGCTTACTCTCATGCAGTGGAAAGTAGTGCTTAGCCTTATGCAAATAGGGAGGCAGGGCTTAGCCTCATGCAAGAAAGGGAGACAATGCTTAGTCTTATGCAATAGAAGGCAGTGCTTAGCTTTATGCAAATAAGGAGGCAGGGCTTAGCCTCATGCAAGAAAGGGAGACAATACTTAGTCTCATGCAAGAAAAGGGAGACAATGCTTAGTCTTATGCAAGGAAAGGTAGTGCTTAGCTTTATGCAAATAGGGATGCAGGGCTTAGCCTCATGCAAGAAAAGGGAGGCAGGGCTTAGCCTCATGCAAGATTTGAGTCAGAGCTTAGTCTCATGCAAAGAGAAGGTTCAAAGGTGAAACATTGCAAGAAATGTGGAAGAGGTTCAAAGGTATGCTGGTTAAATGTCCACATCATGACATTCCAAATCAGATGTTGAGGCAAAGGATCTATATGGGATTGGTAGACAACATGAAGACCAATGTGGATGCTTCAGCGGGTGGAGTATTTTTTAGCAAATCATTCAGGGAATGCAAGGTCTTACTTGATCAAATGGCTCAAAACTGAGAATGGATGACAATGGACTCTACAATCACTTATGTAGTCCACTCAACAGCTTTAGACCCAAACAACTCCATGGCTGAGAATATAGCTACGACAATGATGCAATTGAGTATCCTAACAAAAAATCTTGATGAGTCAGTCTAGAAGAAGGTCCACATAGTTGACATGACAAATGGAGGATTATGCACACCATGCATTAATCGGCCATATATGTGCTCATGGAGTAGTGAAAGTGACAATCAGAACTATCAAGAGAATATGAACTATGTGGTCGCCAGAGACAAGGTGGTCAGACTTGGGGACATCAGAATCAACAATACAGGCCACCACAACAGCAGTACAACAATAATAATAATCCTGGAGCTGCACGACCACAAGGTCTAGTTGTGCCTTATCGAAGGCAACAAGGGTACAATTAGCACAATCAGTAACTAGCTTATCAACAATCTCAACAGCAACAAATAGTGTTATAAGAGGATGGGTTGTTTGAAATAAAAGGAATGTTGCAACAACTCATTGAGTCTAGCAGTAAAATGGAAGAAAAGGTCTACCAGATGCAAGAAAAGGTAGTATCACACGACTCAACTATCAAGAACATTGAGATTCAACTAGGGCAAATATCCATGGCCCTTAACAATCGCCCTCAAGGGACATTACATGCGGACACACATGTTAACCCGAAAGAATAGGGCCCGAAGAAGTTGATGGCTGTTAGTCTGAGAAATGGTAGAGACCTTGATATAGAGCAAGAAATTGCTCGTGGAAGCCGACCAACCGAGATACTCGTACCTGTATCAATTGAGGTAGATGAGTCAACAAAGCTGACAAAAGTAAGAATCCAACCAGCCCAGGAGGAAAAAACAAGGAAAAAGAGTTTGAAAAAAGGGCTGAGGAAGTGCAAGAGAAGGCATTAGAAAAAGTACTCACGTAGGATCAAACTCAAGTCACAGGAAAGAAGTGACCTCCAGCATCCTTCCCATATAGATTGGACAAATATCAGAAGGATGAGCAGTATAAGAAATTCATGGAGATGTTGAAGCAAATCCAAGTGAACATTCTATTGATTGACGACTTGAGGGAGATGCCTGGGTATGTAAAAATGATGAAGGACTTGATGTATTGCAAGTTTGGCTTTTAAGACTTGGCCACTATTACACTAACTCAGACATGTAGTGCTGTCGTGATGAGACCCATAGCTGAGAAGTTGTCCAACCCAGGGAGTTTCACAATCCCATGCACAATAGGGAGCTATGCTTTTGCTAAAGAATTGTGTTATTTGGGGACGAACATAAACTTGATGCCCTTGGCTATATATAAAAGGTTAGGCATTGGAAGAGTAAGACCCACATCTATGTTACTATAGTTAGCTGACCGAATGGTAAAGAGGCCATCAGGTATACTTGATGATGTATTGGTGCAGGTTGGAAAGTTTGTGTTTCTGGCAAATTTTGTCATTATGGACTGCCGGGTTGACGAGGAGATCCCCATAATTATGGGAAGGCCATTCTTGTCCACTGGTAGAGCTCTAATTGATTGTGAAACTGGGGGGCTAAATATGATACTAAATGATGAAAAGATAACGTTCAATGTGCAGAAGTCTATGCGGCGACCTAGTAATTTTCTAACTGCTCTCTGATAGAAGCTATGGATGTGATTTTGGAGGAGGAATATGAGGCTTTGAACGCAAAAAGCCCTCTAGCAGCCTGCCTCACGAACTTAGAAGAGGTAGAGGGTGAGGACTTGGTAGAGTGGGTTTTGGCCATTGAAGGCCAGGGGTACTGGAAAAGAGAGCTCGAATCCGAGCCCTTACACTTTGAAGAACGAAAGACCGCTTCAGCTAAGCCATCAATTGAAGAGCCACCATAGTTGGAGCCGTCTCACATCATGTATGCTTTTTTGAGACCTAACTCAACTTTACCTATTATTATCTCATCTAGTTTGTTAGATGTGCAGGTAGAACAGCTTTTGCTGGTGTTAGTGGAGTGCAAAACTGCAATTGGTTGGACCATCATAGATATTAAGGGTATCAGCCCGGCCTTTTGTATACATAAGATTCTACTGGAATATGGGCACAAACCTTCTAGAGAACATCAAAGAAGGATGAACCCTAACATGAAATAAGTGGTAAAGAAAGAAGTGATCAAGTGGTTAGATGCGGGAGTCATCTTCCCCATCTCTGACAGTAACTAGGCCAGTCTAGTTCAGTGTGTGCTAAAGAAAGGTGGAATGACAGTGGTGCAAAATAAGAACAACGAGCTGATCTAAACAAGAACAGTCACGGGATGGCGAAGTTGTATGGACTGCAAAAATTGAACAAGGCCACCTGAAAAGACCATTTTCCACTACCATTCATTGATCAGATGCTAGACAGATTAGCGGGAAGGTCCCATTTTTGCTTCCTAGATAGATACTCGGGGTATAATTAGATCTCTATTGCCCCGGAGGATAGAGAGAAAACATTCTTCACCTAACCATATGGAATCTATGCCTTTCAGAGAATTCTGTTTGGCCTATGCAACGCACCCGCCATATTCCAAAAGTGCATGATGGCCATCTTCACAGATATGGTGGAGGAAATAATGGAAGTTTTCATGGATGACTTATTAATGGTGGGGAACGCATTCGATGATTTCCTTATGAACTTGAAAAGATTAGTGAAGAGGTGTATGGAGACTAATATGGTATTAAAATGGGAAAAATGCCATTTCATGGTACAGGAAGGTATAGTCTTGGGGAACCTAGTGTTAAGTAAGGACATTGAGATGGATCGTGCAAAGGTTGATGTAATAGAAAAGTTTTCACCACCTACTTTCATCAAGGCAATAAGAAGTTTCCTTGGCCACGCCGACTTCTATAGGCGGTTTATAAAAGATTTTTCAAAAATTGTTAACCCTTTGTGTAAATTGCTTGAAAAAGATCACTCTTTTGTGTTTTCTAATAACTGCAGGGTAGCTTTTATGGAATTGAAGAAGAGGTTGGTGATTACACCTATCATAGTTGCGCCTAATTGGGAGCAACCATTTGAGCTGATGTGTGATGCAAGCGACTATGCTGTGGGAGCAGTTCTTGGGCAGCAAAAAGATAAAGTCATGCATCTAATCTACTACGTAAGTAGAACCTTGAGTGGTGCCCAACTAAATTACACACTAACCGAGAAGGAGATGCTAGCAGTGGTGTTCACATTTGACATTCAGGTCATACCTAATAGGCTCGAAGGTAATATTTTATACTGACCATGCTGCTTTCAATTACTTAATTGAGAAGAAGGAGTCAAAGCTGCGCTTGATTCTATGGGTGGTACTACTGCAAGAATTTGCCTTACAAATCCGTGACTAAAAGGGAATGGAGAACCAAGTGGCTGATCACTTTTCTAGGTTGGAAGAAGTAGAGAAGACGGTGGAGGTAGAAGAGATTACAGAGACTTTCCTGGAGGAACAATTGTTGGCCACGAGCCTTGAGGTAGCACCATGGCATGAAGATATTTCAAACTACTTGGCAAGTGGTATTATCCCCTATGACCTTTCCTCTGCCCAAAAAAAAATCTTTCATGACTGTCGCATGTATTACTAGGATGAGCCTTATCTATTCAGGATTTGTGTTGATAACATAATCGGAGACGTATCCCCGAGATAGACCAATTTCCTATTCTGCAGGCGTGTCACGCATCCCCATATGGTGGTCATTTTAGGGGAGTAAGGATAGTTGCAAAAGTATTGGAGTCGGGCTTCTATTGGCCGACAATGTTCACAGATACATACCATTGGGTGAAGGGTTGTGATAAATTCCAACGGACTGAGAATATTTCTTGCCGACATGAGATGCTCATGAACCCAATTCAGGAAGTGGAACTATTTGACGTATGGGAAATCGATTTCATGGGGCCTTTCATCAGCTCATATGGCAACAGGTATATACTTGTAGCTTTGGACTATGTGCCAAAATGGGTAGAAGTTATGGCACTCCCTACAAATGATGCAGAGGTTGAAAAATTACCTAGGAATGAGTGACGGAAAAAGAGAGAAAGATATGATACAATTGAACGAACCTTAATATGTGAGTGAAGTATAATCCGGAAAGTCTGCGTCGTGCTGTGATGTTAAATCAGGCGCTTCGTAGGAGGCAACCCATTGTAATATTGTATTCGTCATGCCATGATGTTAATTAAGGTGCTCGTTGGGAGGCAACCCTATTCATTATTTATTTTAACATAACTAGAATTTTTCCTTTAGGTTTTAGGCACTAACATATTTGTATGCAGTACCAGTAGACCGAGCAGGAGACCTCGCAGTGCTAGGTTCCTAGCGCGCTTGGCCAGGCTGCATGGCTCGCATCGTTAAGTATCCTTTGTGTGTTGAAGCTCGCCTAGCGAGGGGTATAGAGAGTTGGATCTCGCGGAATCCCTTCGCGCCGCATGCCTCTCAGCTAGCATTTGAGCTTGCCTCGCAAGGTAAGTGGATTGGGTCCGCCTTCGCGTCGCCAGGTAAGTTTTATTCTTTTAGTTTCCTTTTGTTTTGTTTCTACTAAATTGTTCCCTTAAAAAATAAAAAATTTAAAAAATTAAAAAAAAAACAACATAAAAAACCACCGAAGACAAACACCTAAAAAGAAAAAAAGACTCCCATGCCTCAAAAACACACTGCCCGCCCCAAAATGTTCTTCTCTATTGCCCGCCCCAATTTCCCTCTCCCCCTCCCACACAAACCCCATTGAAGACAAGTATTCCTCCATTCGTTCACTCAATTGCAACATCAATTCACGAACAATCCCTCCTCCTAAGCATCTAAGGTATGGTTTCTAACTCTTTTCTTTGCCAAATTTCAAATTGTGTAAAGGCATGGAATTGGATAACTTTTATTTTTGTTCTTTATAGTAACAATTTGTTTGTCCTACACCCATAACTCCATGGAAATGATATTGTTGTTGTGTGCAAAAGTGGTAGCACGAAATTCCCAAGCCGATTTGGGAAGGTGAGGCAATCCATCATTCCTACAAGCATTTCCATGGCACTAGTGCATGCTAAGTATTTATCAAAATGCCTCAAAGGCAGTCTTTGTCCCTATTGGAGCCCAAGTCTCCGGGATTGTAATACTAGTGATATGCCGCCGTGCACCACTTGGAATTTTAAGTGTGGGGTGGCTCACCAGTAGCTCTATACTTCAAAATTGTAGATGACATCTTTGTGTTATTGCTTGAATTTCATGCTAAAAGAATGAGATGAAGTCTGAGTAGCCTCGAAAATTGTTGAACATCATGTGATGAACTCTTAAGTGTGGGGTTACAAGACCATGTTTTGAAATGTTGCAATGCGTCTAAAACTGATCAATGTTCACTTGTGTAGGTACGAACTTGCCTTCAAAGAAGGATACTGGTAAAGGTAAGGGCAAAGGAACTGCTCTATCCAAGGCTAAGGCTCCCTCCGCACCTCCACCGAAAAAAAGAAAGGGGGAAGGGAGGGGGGGAAGCCATATCAAGTTAGGTTGAAAGAATGCAAGTAGTTGCAACCATAGTAGCCACTCGTCCACAACCTCAGGGACAACGAGAATTTGGAATCAAGAGCATACCCCCACATGTTAAGGACTGGTACAAGCTTTTTTGGCCGACACATATACATCCTGAGGCAGTTGTTCATGTACGTCGCCTACAAGCTAAGTATCAAGCAATTTGGAAAGGTGTTCATGATCTTAGGTTGAGCTATGTGTTTAGAAATACCAGGGATATAAATGTCAACCTTGCTAAGGAATTTTACCCGGTTTTAATCCAAAAGACCCTAAGCAGCTGGTGCCTATTCGGGGAAGGGTGATCGATTTTTCAACGTTTGCTATATGCAATTTTTTAGGTATGCCAGATGTTCCCCAGGAACAATTGGACAACTTCATCACCAGTCCCATATATTGAGAACTGAGACAAACTCTTTGTGGTGTCATTTCTTTGGCGGCTTGGGTTCGTGACAAGAAAACCAATTGTTATAGGAAATTCCCTAATAAGAAAATGAAGGTAGAAACTCAAGTATGGTTGAAGCTAATTATTACATGGCTCCAACCATGCAACCATGACACTCTTATTAGCCGTAAAAGGACTTGCATGTTATATTTCCTCATGACGGTCCAGAGGGTGAATGTGGGCAACTTGATCCGCTACTAGATGACCCAAGTGCGAACTAGCAAGAGAATTGATCGAATGCCCTTTGCGAACATGTTGACACAGTACTTGAGACAAGAAGAAGTAGATGAGGAGAAAGCTTTTGATAGAGTCATTCCTCCGCCCCTATTACTAATGGATATCACAAGCATCCGGGTTAAGGAGGGAAATACTACATCTTCATTGACAGGTGCTGAAAAAAATGCTCGCGATGACTATATTATGGCCCCTTTATATGGGATGTTGGACTTGCAGCTTCAGATTGGGGGATGACTAGCAAATAGTGAAGATAGGGACATCTTGGATGAGTGGTTCCCGCTCAATGCTCATGCTCAACAGTTGGTTGGGTTTAGTGATGGCTATCGACTCCCCGAGGATGAGAATGTGAACACACCAGAGCAGTCCGAGGCCAAGCCGGAGTAGTCTGAGGAGGAGGATGAGGAGGAGGAGGAGGAAGTAGAAGATAAGGAGTGGATAGCTGCAGATGGCTTCGAAGATGAAGGCGATGACGAGGATTGATCAGGGAGTTTTCATACCACCTTGTTTTTTTGTCATTTTGTGTATGCACTGAGGACATTGCATGAATTAAGGGTGGTATGATAACTTGTAGATATTAGTTACTTTAATTATTTCTTGTTTTATGTTGGACTCTTCCTGACGATGGATCTCCTAGATAGTTTTCTTGAGGGAATTAAGTCTAAAGAAAAAAAATAATTTTCTTTGTAGGCAGTCTAGTAATTCCCCCATGGTGTTTCTTTGTGTCGCGGTTCTTTTTCAAGGGTTGAACCGGGTGTAGCTAGTTTTTTTTGTAGGAGTAGAAACCATTGTGCTATAAATTGAATTGAAGCAATATCTCTTGACTTTGTTATGCCTTGAGAATAGTGAGTACTCTGGTTGTGACGCGTAGGCTCAGTTTTTGACTCTAGTATAAGTACCCTAAATCGTATAATCTTAACTTTACTTAAATACTTTGACTAGAGTAGCTTGATAAAACAAATCCTGAGTGAGTTATGTGCCATATGTGTGTGAGGTTTTATGTGTATTCAGTGCATTGCAGTTGATGTTTAGAACTTGCCCGTGTATTTGCAAAGTGAAATAGTAGTTATGTTCAGTCTAGGAAGTGATATAGGCGTTTATTTGTTGAGACAAATATATATAGTTTACCCGCCTAATTGTTATCTAACGTAGTTAACCCCTTTAAGCCTATAATCCTATTTTTTCTAAACCACATTACAAGCATTACCCCTTTGTTTGAATTAATCATCTGTTTGAATCTTGTCGCCTCTCATGAGCACTTGATTGTTATGAATTATGTAAAAGTTAAAGTGTGAGGTGGTGGTTCGGCTTTTGAGTGGAACAAATGAAATAAGGAGAAAGGTGCACTGTTTTGAAAAAAAAATATAAAAGCCACTTGAAGTGAAAAAGAAAAAAAAAGAGAAATAGTTGTATTGTTGTGAAAAATATTCTTTGATGGGGTGCTTTTGATGTAATTGTGCTTAAAGAAGTATGGGGTGTTACATTGATGTGAAGGTGGTATTTTGGTTCGACATAAGTATGTGCTTGAATGTTAAAATATATGTATTAAAGTGCTTATAGAGGTGTAGTCACTCTTATATCCAAATGTATCCTACCTGACCTGCAACATGCATTACAACCAATTAAAGTCCTACTTGATCCTAGACTGAATGAGCTCAATTAGTAGAGTAGTATATTACAGGCAAGTTTATGGTGCATCTTTTGTAGCATATAAATGTTATTTATGAGAGTGAGTGAATTCTTTCTGTCTCGAGTTCCTAATTGTTCTTAAATTTATTGTGTGTGGAAGTAATCTCTTTTGTTGTGTGATGGCACTTGATTCATGAAGGAAAGGTAATGTCATAGACCTCTATGTTAGAGTAAGTGAGTGAGTTTTGACTAATGCAGGGTACGTATGAGTCAAATCTTGAGGCGAGGATATTATTCCTTTGTGCTTATCTATTTTAAAGATTCTTGGTGTGATGAGTTATAAAAATCATTTTAAAAGGTCGTGTTTGCATAGAGTGTAGTTTGATTGCTCAAGGACGAGCAACATATAAGTGTGAGGCAGTGATGTGTGGCTATAGTTATATATTTTTAGTGCATTACTTACTGTATAGTTAGGTGCTTTAATTCTAAACTACACTATATTTTTGTTTATTTGAGTTATTTTATGTGTGGGTACAATGGGGATATACTTGCGAGAAAAATGAATATTTTGGACAATAAAGTGCAAACGAAGTAGTGAGCAGGCGTAGCAAGCAAAATAACTCGCAGTAGAGCAAGTGAGGCGAGCTGTCTTGCTCGCGTTTGAGTGTGCGATGCCTGGGTTAAGGCGAGATAAAGCTCGCGGCAGAGCTGGCGATGCACAGGCTAAGGCGAGGTGGACACACTGTAGAGCTTGCGGCGCACGGTCTATAGCGAGGGTGTTCCGAATTTTAAAAGCCTATTTCGTCACCTTGTTGGGTTTGGACTTGGGCTATTTCATTTAGGTCTTTTTCCCTACACATATAAATAGTGATTAAATACCATTTTTAAGGCATTTTGGCGATCAAAGGCAAGAATAGCACGTGGAACAACTTTTGGGGGAAAGAATCATCGAGTTCTACATTCCTTCATCTTTTTTATTTTTGTAATTTGTTTATGCAAAATACTTTGGAAATTGTTACTACGAATATGAGTAGCTAAACTTCTAATCTAGGGTGTGATGGAACCTATTGAAGGATGATTTTTCCTTTGTGTTTGGTATAAATTCGTCATTTAATTTTCTTTACTTGTTCAATTATATTGTTATTGTTGTTGGTTGAAGGACCCTCAATTGACTGTGCCTGTTTAATGTATGCTGCTCTCGAGA